CAAAATAATCCTACATTTTGCTTGCCATTTTCAACCTCCTCCAAAGTCATCATACTTAGCCATTTAAGAAGGAAGAGGTTTTTCTTGAAGAAACTCCCTCTGCCAACCTCCTTCCTGCCTTGCAGCTTTGCCTGAAGAGATTATCCACTCTGAAGGCTGTGTGCAGTCATGAATGTTGCACCAAGATTTACTTTTATTCCCTTTCCCTAAAGGAGCTCAGTTGTGATTTTATCTATGACACTACGGAAGAAATGAGGTTTCAAATACTTTAAAACAATGGTGACTTTCAAAGAAAAGATTAAGAGTCTGCCCATATTTCTGAACATCATGAAGGTGGCAGATGAAAGGTGGCCACAAACCCTTTGCCACTCTTCCTATTGAGATGTGGGGTCTATTTCCCTTCCCTTGCATCTGGGCTGGCATGTGACTGCTTTGACCAACAGAGAATGGTGGAATGCCAGTTCTGGGCCAGGCTTTAAGAGAACCAGCAGCTTCTACCATGCTCTTTTGGGGCCAAAGCCACCACGTAAGAAGAGAGGCTCCTCCCTGGGGAGGTCTGATCTACATGGGGAGAGAGGAGGGCTCAGCTGATTCCGGCCTCCCAGCCATCCTCACCAAGTGCCAGCAAATGTGAGTGAACTGAATTCCTCAGACCAGGCCAGCCACCAGGTAAATGCCACCGAGTGACCCCACTCAATGTCACGGGGAGCAGAAGAATCACCCAGCTAAACCCTTCCTGGATTTCTGACCCATACGCTCGTAAGATATAATGTAATGGCTGTTGAGAGCCACTCAACTTGGGGGCAGTTTGTTACGCAGCAGCGGTTCCATGGTACAATATAAAGCCCACAGTGTGGGCAACAGCACCACCACCAACCGTGAAACCTCGCTGCAGTGAATGCCTTTGGGGTAGCTGCCTCATTTCCTTCTTTTATGAGATTCGGCCCGACACCCTGCCTCCAGCCACAGTGGTGGACGTTCTCTCCCCCAGACTTGCAGAACTGGGAATGAGAGGTGGCTGATCAGTCCATGGCTGGGGCTAGAAGCCACTGAGATATACTTCACAGGAGGGGTGGAGGGCAGTGTGGAGAGGCAGGTCTGCTCTGGGAGAATGTGATGCAGGTGTGCAGAGGGGCAGTGGTGAGGGGCTGTGTGGGACGAAGGGAGTGATGGGAAGAAGGGGTTGTCTCGCTTGGTTTCTGGATGCTTTGTGGGTCTGCATGTACCTGTTTCCTTTGGGGTCTCTGTGTACCCTTGCATTCTTAGAATTCTCTTTCTTGCTTAAGTGGCTGTGAATGGATTTCTGTTTTTGTTTGTTTGTTTTTGCAACTGGAAGAAAGGGCCTTGGTGACGCCTGAGATAAGTATGTTCGGCCCTGGAAACTGAAGGGAAAGCTGGCCAGACCAGTGAGGTGACAGGAATGTCCTTCTGCTGACCTTCCCCCTGCTAGGTGAGAGGGACTGGGAGTGACTCAAGCCCAGTCTAGTCTCCTATAGGCACCCCACACTCAGAATGCCTCATACCAAGCAGCTCTTTTTCCAAAATAATTTCAAATCTGCCTTCCTTACTCTGGCTAAGGGAAACCATCCGTCGTCTAAACTAAAAACAGCGAGGGACTGCTACTTTCCTTCCTTCCGACCTCCTCAGTCCCACCGGCCACCAAGGCCTGCCTGCTCTAATTTGCTCTCCTCCCCTCCATCATGGCGACTGCCCTCGCCCCCATTCTGTCCCCAGACCTGTCTCCTGAAACAGATCTGGCCATGCCACTGCTCTGCCTCCAGATCCCCCATGCTGCCCTCCCATGACATACCTCGCCACAATGCTGCTTACTTTCTCACCTTCTCTTCCTTCTGGAGGGAATATCCACCTGCCCTTCCCTGCCTGGAAAACTCACACCACATCCAAGGTCAGACTTGAATGACAACTCATTTGTGAAATGTCCTCTGACTTTTCTCAGGTGCTTCAATGTGTTAGAAGCTCAGTGCTAAGCATTTTGCCTGCGTCTTTTCTATAGCTCACGCTAGAGGTTAGGGTCTCTGTTTTACCGAGGAGGAAACTAAGGGTCAGAGGGGGCGATGCTCCCAAGCCGCACAGCTGGTGAGCGTGAGAGCCAGGTTCTAGTGCGCAGCCATCAGCCTGCAAAGTGCTGCGCTCTCCTCCCACATGGTACTCTATGGCCTTTAGACATTGCCCCTTGGGGTGGGGGATTAACGGTACCTTCTTCTCAGTTTCCAGAGAAGCTTGTGCACATTCATCACCCACTATTATACTTATAGGTCTGCGTGCTACATGGTGAAGTGTTCAAGGGCAGGGAGGAGTCACAATCATCGCTGTATCCAGGTACCTACCCAGTGTTTGGTTCAGAGCAAGTGGTCAACACATGTGAGCTGAAATGAAATACTGCTTTTGGATGATGAGCAAAGTAGTTTTGAGCCCCATGGCATCATTCAACTGCTTCCATAAAGCTGTTTTAGACCATCCTCTTCCAGCCTCATTGGTAATGGCAAGACCTTGCGTGGGGCTAATGCCACTGATTGACTGCCATGACTCTGCCCTCTCTCCCAGTCTGTGGCAGAGGGTGGTGTCTGCCTTCTCAGGTCCTGGCTCTTTGGATCCCATATAGCTGGGTGACATCAGGGTCCTGGCTACCCCATGACAGCCATCTCCTGCAATTGCACTCTTTAAATAAACACAACAGAAGCAAAGCTAAGCAGGTGGCAGGTGGGAGGAGGGAAGAGCGTGTACACAGCGTTGGGACACACCCCTGAGTGGCAGAGCCAAGGTCGGTGGCCAGAAGGACAGCGTTCTCGTCATGAGCTGGAATGGGGCATGGCCACCACACTCCCCACTCTGTGTCCCTGTCTGGTCTCACGCACCCAGCCTTGGAGGACTTCCTCTCATCTGAAGAGCCCAGACAAAGGCAGAAGGAAGAAATACCCCCCCCACCCCCAACCAAAGCCCTTTCTGTCTTCTAAGATCCCAAACACTTAGCTGGCTTTGTTCTCCACCCACAGACCAGAGGTGGTCCGGGCAGGAAGGAGTTGGAGGAGAGAGGGGGGAGTTGAGCACCTATCTGGCCACGCAGATTAAACAAATGACAAATTGGCAGATTTTTTTTTTAAAAAAAGGTAATATCCACTCTTGGCAAATATATAGGAAAATGGACACTTTTGATACAGTGCTTGTGGGAGGGTGAATTGGTATAACCTCTCTAGAGGCAATTTGCAGTATATAATAAAAGGCTTCAAGTGTGTGTTTCCTTTGACTCAGTAATTCCATTTCTAGGGTTTCATCTTAAGCACATAATGAAGGATTTGTGCAAATATTTAGCTCTTAGGATAGTCACTGTGGCACTGTTAAAGGAGGTGTGAAACAAGGAACCACCTAAATTCCCGTGTCCTGGGGCTGGATGAGCGAGGGCAGACACTGCAGCCTCATGACTGTGCTGGAAGGGAGTTTTCAAAGACATGGAAAGAAGTTCAGAGCACTGTGTTCGGGGAAGAACAGGCTGAAAAAGAGTACATGGAATGTCTGAAAAGCATGGGAACATAAGATAAACTTATCTTTAAGTCATGTGCTCAATATATTTTTCATGAAACCTCCAGACACTTTTTCACGTGACGTAGCTCTAAATTTAAAGCAATGAGTCCAATTGTGAGTCTGAAAAATGTGTAATAAAAACAGTTTTTCCTGCTTCTAGACTTCTTGGATAAAAGTATATTTATTTTTATTTTTTTCGAACCCACAGTTCGAACCCACAGTTTTGACTTTAGAGGTCTTGTACCTCAAAATATATCGAGTACATTACTGGAAAATTCAACATCCTAGTCAAACATAAGTAGATGCCATGAGTGTGCTTGCTCAACATCTTTATGCAGCGAGGAAGGTCAAGAAGAGACAACACTGTTCATCACGGTTATTCTGGGATGTGGACTCCTGAGTGCTTTACAACCTTTTTTTTTTGTTTCTCACTGACTTGTTACAATGTCTGATGGATGAATACAAATTATTTTGTAATCCCAAAGCAGCTAATGATTTGAATCTAAAGCATCTGTCCATCATGATGTAAGAGGCCGTTTCCACCTGCATTTGAAACCCAGAAGGAACCATGGAAAAGCAAGGCTTTGGTGGCAGCAAGCCCCAGCTGTGGTCCCTGGTGCTATTCTAGCAGCTGGAGACACAAGGACAGCCACGGGCTCCCCTCACCTGGAACGCTACTGTGCAGCGGAAGAGACGCACCTTCGTTAGATAATGATCCTGAGGTTGTTACTAATGAATATAGAGGCACTGAAGCAAATGGACTCCAGATCTCTGAGAGTGTGAGGCAAAGAAACCATCTCGGACTTGGGGTGAGGACACCCCCCTTCTCCTTGAGAAAGTGACAGGAGGCAAGAAGGATGGGCAGGTGTGCCCTGGGGAAGGAGGCAGGGCAAATCTATCTCTTGGCTCACCTACAAGGGTTGGGAGAATGGACCCCACCGCTCCCCAGGCAGAACTCCGGACTTTAGCTCAGCTGAGGTACCCGAGCCTTCGGGGGCAGAAACCCTTTTCGTATTCCCCATGGGTAGAGAACAAAGAACTGTCCTGCAGTCCCTTTGCTTGTGTGTGTGCGTGTGTGTGCGTGTGTATGTGTGTGTGTTTCTCCCAAGTAAATGGTGAACCACCCCAAGCGCCGCTGTTCCTCCCCAGGCTTCTGTCGTGGAGTCAGGCTCCCACCCTCCCACCCTCCTGTTAGGACCAGCGAGAAGGTAAGAACAGAGCGGGGCTGAGATGTCTGTTCTCCATCTAAAGGTCCAGCCCTCGGGTATGAATGGCCTCAAGAGGGGCCAAGATTCCATCCAAGCCTGCAGGGGACACTGCCCTCCCTCCCACTGTACCTGCACCGTGTGGGATGTTCTAACAGGAAACTTCTTCCAAGAGCTCTCCCTCTGGTGAGGCGGAGGGCTGGGCATCCATGTGTGGGGGCTCCACGGGGCCCCGCGATCGATCGCCACACTCACCTTCCAGAGCAGTACAGCCAGCAGCAGGAAGATGAGGACTCCCACCAGCAAACTTATGGCAATGATCCACCCCACCACATAGCCCCGGGGCTCCAGATTGTGCAAGGCTTCGAAGACCACCTAGGAGGCAAAGCAGAAGGGGATGGGGGACAATTGTCAAACAGAAGTACCCAGAGCATGACAGAGCCAGGCCTGGGCTTGACGTCTGGAGGGAACTACAGATGGGTCCAGACTGTTGTGACCAAAGACTGGATTTTGGTTCAGTGCCTTTCTGCTTGTAGACTGATGGATTTTTCACTGGGATTGGAAAAGGCACTTGAAATCCAAGCCCCAGTTCTTGCAAGGGTTGTCACAACAACAAGCCTGACTTCAGTATCATGAAGTGAACATAAGTGTGGTAAAGGTCTCAGAGGACGCACTCCGTTCTTGATTCAGGCAACGTCAGTCTCCCTTTTATTAGGGTTTTGCAACGAAGGACGTGAGCATGCCCTCCATGTAAGACCGTGCTCTTTCCCAATGCGCACCTCACCTGTAGCTTAGTGCAATCATTTGATCAATGCCAATTGCCTGACAGACTGTCGCTCCACCAGGGCCGGGACACCATCTGTCTCGGGTCTCATGGCCTCGCACACAGTAGGCCTTCACTCCTGAAGCGCTGGGCTCTGGGTTTCCACGGGAGCCATATGCAATCCCAGCCCACGCCACAGTGAGGCAAGTTTCCCCAAGTTTTATGGAAACTCAGCGGTGTGCCGGAACCGGCCATCAGCCTGCAAGAGCCAATTGGGTGCTTCTCTTCCTCGCCCCACATCTAGTGACGACACTGCAGTGTGGTGGCCTGAAATGGGCCGTGTGCGAGTATTTATTTATTTTTTTAAGATTTTTTAAATTTATTTTTTATTTATTTGACAGAGAGAGACACAGCGAGAGAGGGAACACAAGCAGGGGGAGTGGGGGAGTGAGAAGCAGGGTTCCGGCCGAGCAGGGAGCCCGATGCGGGGCTCGATCCCAGGACCCTGGGATCCCGACCTGAGCTGAAGGCAGACGCTTAATGACTGAGCCACCCAGATGTCCTGCCGTGTGTGAGTATTTACACTGAGGAAACTGGCAGACGGGTCAGGGCCCCCCACCCTCCTGCCAGAGAACCAATTGCTTAACAGGTATTAACACTAATTATACCCTTTGGCTCTGCTTTAGCCTCACTGGTCACAGTGGAGTTTGGTTTTGTAGAATTTAAAGCATCCATTGTGTCCTTACTGCCCGGTAACCTTCCCTACCATCCCCTGCCCACTCAAGCTTGCTGCAAAAGAGACGAAAATCCCAGCACTGGGTAGTCCTCATCTCCCCTGGCTGCCCGGCTGGCCCACCCCCAGGTCTTTGTCCAAGCTGGGTCATCCCCTCCGTGGGGAAAGCCTATTTAAACCCAGCTGGATGCTGGAGGCTAGCTGAGGCTCTGCCTCTGCCGGGAACCCTCGCTTATCCCGGGAGCCCACCCCGCCCCCCGCAAGCCACACGGGGTGATGGGGCACAGTACTGACTTACAGTGACCAGCACTGTTTATGTCCCCTTTTAGGGCCTGGCTCCCAGCTCTCTAATTCTTCCCAAGCGGTCGTCGGTGCTTTTCTTACAATCTCCTGTCCAGGTTCACGCAGCCACCCAGTGAGGGCTTCAACATCCACTTCACAGAGGGGGAACATCGAGGCCCAGAGAGGACAGCCTTTTGCTCTGGGCCATGTCACTTAAGTACAGAGTCAGGATTTGAACTCAGGTCTAGCCAACCCCCAGACCCCCAAAATCTGAGCTGGTCAACATGACACCACAGAGCGCCCAGCTGAAGGTGGCTCTTCTTAAAGACTACCGGTTGGTTCAATGGATCATTTGTTGTCTGTGCCCTGGTGATAAGGAAGGCAAATACGAGCATCTCCATCTCCCTGTGTCCATCCCCACAGCTGCGGTAGGAGGGGGGGTGTGTGCTGGGGGAGGGGTGGATGGCCATTCAGGAGGCAGATGAGCTGCCACAGTCACACCTGCAGACCCTGAATCCAGAACATTATCTCAAGGAAGACCAGGCAGAGCAGAGACCATCCCTTCCTGCATGGGGACAAGTGAAAGAAAACTGCCTACAAACACAGTAGTCATTCTGGGAATGGAAAGGAGGCCACCTTGTGGCACATACTCACTGGCTGTGTGACCTTGGGCAAGGTACTTTCCCTCTCTGAGCCGCATTTCTCTCATCTGCAAACTAGGGGTAAAACAGCACCTCCCGAGAGAATTCAAGGGACAATGTGCACAGAGCCCCGAGCCTAACACCTGGCAGAGCCCAACCTTGACAAACAGAAGGCAATTTTTCCATCAGTGCTGGCAGGAAGAGATTTTTGAAGTCGTGCATGCTTGGCGACTCTTTAATTTTTAAAAACCATTTATTGATGTCTAAGATGCATACAGAAGAGTGAACATAACACAAGTGCACAGCTCACTAAATTTTTATATACTGCATGTTAAATGCACATGTGTGATCAGCACCCAGAATAAGAAACAGAACATGTCCAGACCCCGAGACGCCCCCTTTACATCCCTTTCCTGCTAATACCTGCATCAAGGGTAACCACTAGCCTGACTTCTCAGGGCCTAGATTAGCTGCACCTAATTTTGTCCTCAGTATATCTGGGACGGCACAGTGTAAACTCCTATGTCTGGCTTTTTTTTTTTTTTTTAAGATTTT